TTGCATGTCATTATTACACGGACAAAACATTACCATTTCGGTCCACAAAATTTTGCTAATGTTGTATGATTGTCTATACGTTTTGGTTCGTTTATTATAAAATATTTTTTAATAGAAGCAGTATATTAGTATATTAGGTTGGGGAAAAAGTATCTTCGCATTTTATAAGAAAATTCACAACATTTTTTAATATAGTTTATTTACATTTAACTAGAGTCAGTGAAGCCTGACCGGTCTTTGACCACGACCTTTTTCGCACGTTTTTGTCGTACGTGATCTACTTTTCATCAACAGTTATCAGCTTCTTCAAAAATGATTCGGTTCCATTACGCCGTAATAAAGAATCACAAATGAGTACACGGTTCACTAGATTTCTTTCAGTGAGCTCGTGAGGTACCCAAATATCGAGCTTTTTTGTGTACCCAGTTTTTTCAAATGCGCCAAAACTGTTTTGTGGTCAATTCCCAGTTCTTCAGCTACGTCGTAACTACTGATATGCCGATCTTGCTTCACTTTTTCAAAAATGGCATCCATTTTATCCGTAATAGGGCGACCAGAGCAATGTGCATCTTTGACATCAAAATTTCCGGATTGAAAACGCTTAAGCCAAATTTGTGCTACTCTCACAGACACTGCACTAGGTCCATAAACATCGCATTTTTTTTCGCGCCTTGCGTTGCATTTTTTGTAGTAAAATTTTAAAATGTATCGAATTTCTTCATTAGATTCACTCATCTTGACAGTACAAAAAATAATTTATTTATTTAATAAATGTTTTCATATACATTANAAATTTCCGGATTGAAAACGCTTAAGCCAAATTTGTGCTACTCTCACAGACACTGCACTAGGTCCATAAACATCGCATTTTTTTTCGCGCCTTGCGTTGCATTTTTTGTAGTAAAATTTTAAAATGTATCGAATTTCTTCATTAGATTCACTCATCTTGACAGTACAAAAAATAATTTATTTATTTAATAAATGTTTTCATATACATTAAATTTAATATAATATAATTTCGAAATAAATCTTTCTTTATAGTTTGCTTAATTATGACATATTCATATTCTTTCTAACTATTCTAATATCGATTATTGAATAGTTATTTAAATGTTCATAAACAAAACAGAAATTTAAAAGACGATTGTAATCCGTGATGTTCACGTGTATAGGTCGTTAAAATTTATGGAAAATACTTTTCATTCCTACTCGAAACGTCACGATAGAAATATTTACCTACGCTAATAAAATCTGATTTGTCGATAAGTCATAGCCCGCCGGATTTAAAAAAACAGGATGTCTTAAATACGAAATAAAAAAACAATGAAATATTTTTTGTAATATGTATATGGAAATTTGTGTTGTTGCTGTAATTCGAATTGAGCCAATATAATTAGATTTTTAATCGAAATGGTTTGGATTTTCTTATCATAGCAGGTTCGTTATATGCTCCAGAAGAAACAAACAGGATCTTCATTCCCTTTAACCAGTGTAAGTCAAGATTATCAAATCACGAAATGGGCATTTGTAGATATCGACTTTTACTTTGTAGCCGACGCAATTAACCTAGTTTGTAATAAAAACGGTAATTTCATAATTGTTTTCAAGTTAAAGCGCGGGCCATTGCCATGCACAACGTTAACGCAATGTTTGAGAACGTTCTGCGGGATGTCGACCAGTGGGCACGGTACGTACGAGTCTGTGGCAGTGGGTCAACGGTTCCGCAGGGCGCAAGCCTCGGCCGTGTCTGGCGCAACACCCTTACGTAAAGACCGCGGACCGCGCGCTAAGGCCTGGTGAAAGTTGCGACTGCTTCATAGAGCGCTCAGACGAAACCGCTATCTTTTTCCTTGCAAGTTATTGGACCGTCCTGTCCTTGACAACATTTTATGTATGTCGTGGAATCCTCATTAGTTTTACACTCATCATAAAATAGGCAATGCTGTGAGTGCCGTAGCATTAATATATTTACCTACGAATCAAGCTATTCGCAGTGGAGGTATTTAATAATTCATTAATCGTTTCACTGTCGAGTCACTCTTACAATTAAATTAAAAAAAAGATACTCAAACCAAAATTAACCTTACAATTCATAAAAAAAATTTAAATGGAGCTATAGTTGTTTCCTAGGCACATGCCTGCCATGTATTTATATTAAAAAGAAGGTATGCTGATTGAAAAGAAGTAATATAGTTCAAGTGTGCGCAAGTGAATTTTGCCGTGAAGAGCAGGTCAAGGTCTCTGTGTTGTGCAATCGCTTGCAGCACGCACTGACCGTAGAATCTCTCCGTTTTCAGTTCCCACCGGTACTGTTTCGTGTTATCCGGATTTACTGGACTATTTGAGACATCTAAATATCTGCCATGTTACATGATCGTTACTAATAACGTAGTTGACGAACTCACTTGTCATTTCCTGTGATTGTACCTAGTTAAAGGAATCAGTGTTGTCCTTATAAACTTGTATAAATAGTATTATGACTGTACATGAACATTTCACAGAATGCATTCCACGACGATATCAATCTACGTGATATTAAAAGACACACGTGCTATTATATCTTTAACATTTGCGATATCGCATTCGTATATCACTAATAAAGTGTTGTTACTATGTCTTATCGATGTCAGACGTACTGTATTAATTTTATTTGAAAATTCTTAAAACAAATATTGCCGACCGCAGCAAACCGGCGCCGGTGTGAATAGCACAGGCAAAAGAACATCTATAATTTTAATAAGCTCTACTCCTTACTGCCTAGCCTATATAGCTCTGCATTGAACCATGTAAAACAGAAGACGGAAAATCTTTAATCGGTGATTCTGCATGCAAAACTTGTTGCATACAAGTTGGTAACAATGTCGCAAGATTACTTATTGGACCTGTTTATGTTACTTAGACAATCTCACTTCTCGCCTGATTTCAAGCGGTCACCGTCATTCGCGGACTTGGACATGACAAACGACTCCTTCTTTGCAGTAAACGCCCTTAAATTTTTTTTGAAGTGAACTAAATTTAAATTAACCCATTGAGATACGCCACTCTGACAGTTCACTGCCACTGAGTTTCTCGCCGGACCTTCTTAGTGGGTCGCCATACCGATTCTGTGCAGCACTGCTCTTGCTAGGGCTAATGTTACCAAATTTTATTAGGTACTTTTATTACTGGTGGTAGGACCTCTTGTGAGTCCGCACGGGTAGGTACCACCGAACAAACGCATTACTGCTTCACGGCATAAACTGCCTATTTCAGCCGTGAAGCAGTAATGCGTTTCGGTTTGAAGGGTGGGGCAGCCGTTGTAACTATACTGAAACCTTAGAACTTATATCTCAAGGTAGGTGGTGCATTTACTTTGTAGATGTCTATGGGCTCCAGTAACCACTTAACACCAAGTGGGCTGTGAGCTCGTCCACCCATCTAAGCAATAAAAAAATAAAATAAAAGTTGAGCCCGATGGCTCACCTATCCGTCCACGCGTAGCTGGAATAGCCCCTCAGGCTACTAGCAAATAGGTAGGGAGAAAAAAAAAAAGTTCACTCCGAACGAACATGAATAGACTTTCTGGAGCCACCGAGAGACTAATTTTATTGCTGACATCTCCACATAACGGTCGTACACTATTATAGCAAAGCAGTATATACTAATAAGGAATGTCATTAATATGCACGGTTTAAAATACCAAATCAAATTAAAAGTGCTAGAAATAAAATAAAAATTTACTGATACTTCAACGGATTAAATAATTCGCTACGAGATCAAAACATGTTGTTGGTTTCAAAAAAGTTAACGCTAATCAAGTTTTACCAGAACAAATTTATGGTTTCCATATTATTCATAGTATCATCTATCATATTATTCATATACTATATTGAATGGTATTTGTATCCAAAATCTTCACCGTTATTTAAATTTAGTTTTTTTGTTAGCTTTAATCATTTTGTATATCCGTTATATAAACACTGTTATTCGTTTATAAATAAAGTTTTGTCTTGAAATAAAGAGAGGGAGAGACAAAGAAAGAATATAGACACTTCAATACACATCAAAACAACATTGAAAATCTTTCAGTAGCCAAGTATAATTGTTACAATACGGACTCTTTTACTATTTTGAAAAAACTGCGATGGAAGTGTGTTTCTATATTAAATATTCTGTCAAAATACCTAATATGATAATGTTTTGGTGCAGCTACTGAATATTTAGTCTGTCTTGATGTTTTTTTTTGAAAGCCTTTGTTGTTTCGTGACTTATCCTATACGTACTTCGTTTATTTATCCGATCGTATTGATAATTTGAACAGAAATTGAGAATTTGCTATCAGTACTTCAAGGAAGGCGTGTAGGACCATAAAAGGTGGCGTGCGAGTAATTTCCAACAAATATATTTAATATATCATATCTCATATCAATTAATCCCTATGAAGACCAGAGCTGAAAATGTAGCAATAAATTAGATTTTTAATAAGGGCAGCTTCTGTTTCGTGTCCATTTTATTTTAAGTCGTGCTTTGCCCTGACTACCGCTAAAATATATGTATGAAGAATCAACCCCATTTGTTAACTATCGTAGAAAAAAACGCAGAAACCTTACCTAAATTTCTAACAACTACAAAGTTCCGGATCAACGATGCATGAATGTCTAGAGCACGAATAAACAAACGTTGCCGCAAAAATTCGTATTGATATACATATAAAATTATAAGCGGGTATATGAAAACCGTAGATCACAAATGAATTTAGTAAAAAATGAAAACATAACCTCAAGGACCTTCACAAAAAAAAACATTGCTAATGAACACATGGGCGTGGGAGCTTTTATCATTAATTAGATTAATAAAGTATACTTTTTAACTACTTACTATTAATAAAGGCTTAGGTATATGAATTGAATTTAAATAAAAAAATTAGGTTAATGTAATAAAATATTGTGCTATAGTTCGTTAAATTTAATATAAGGTATTTGGATAAAATTTGTAATAAAAACAAACTTGTTTTGTTCCAGAAGTAATTGGTGGTAACTTACGAAGATGGCGACCGTCTCAAGTTGGTATAGTGATTTAATGGACAGCAGGGGCGGTAAGTAATAATACAATTTACATTGCACACAAAAATATCAACAAAATACATAACAAGTTTTGAACACATATAGAATAAAATGTAATATGAATACAATGAAACTTATGCGTTACCATCTAATGACACGTTGATTTGTGAATAAAATATGCAGGCGTAAACTTGCTAAAATGCCACATATGAGTTTGTAAAATAAAATGATGTGGAGATTTCGTATTTTGAATTTAGAATAAATATTTAAAATTCATAAGTTATATCGCTTATCAAAAAACACGTGATAACCCTAAAACAACGAGAAAAAAAATTATAATTACCATTACAAATTTATTTCAGTAGCAAAATAATGTATACTTTTAAAACGAGTTATTTTTTCCTGCTAATACTCGTATACTTGAAATATGAGTAGTCTGTCATTAATAAAGTCATTCACATATATATTTTCACTTTTTCTGTCCAATGCCATTAAGAAACAGCGAGCATACGGTCAAATGTTAACTTCGCAAAATTTTGCCTGGTAATTTAAAAATGCTTCACACTCTAGGATTTTTTAATACATAATTTTTTTTTGTATTCATTTAGTAGATATTGTATGTCACTACTAAATTGTATATACTAAAATATAGGTTCAGTTAAAATGTATTCGTCTTTACTATCCCTAACGTTTAGAGCCTTATCTCTGATCTTATCGCACAATACGCACGCAAGCAATTCACGCCTCTGAGTATTTTAATACATTGTTCTGTATTATAATTACGTTAAGAATATATTTGTTGTGACTTAATATTAAAATTAAAATCAGTTACACACTAAATTTGAATCATAATTCAATGTGAACTGAGCGAGGAACCAACACAAAATTAAATGGCATTTCTTTATTCCGGTAAATATTGAAATTTTTGTAGTTTGTTACGAAACCTAAATTTGGAATAAATGACAGTGAGGTCAGTGAATCCCACAATAACAAAAGAATGTATAAAAATGTGCTTATTTTACGTCGAATAGCGGCAGAGCGTTGTAACGGCAATATTTGCCCAATAGGTTATATAAGAAGAATTACAGTGCGATTCGCATCAAAAACGTAAATTTCCTCTCCGTTGTGGAATAACGTCACGGTAACTCAAGTGGGTCTCTGCTGCAACACGACTGACAACTGACGCGTGACCTTGCAATACTCATATACTTGTTAATTCTGCGTTTGACCTTTTAACCCATTAAGTAAAGCTATCTATATATATATATATATAAATGAACTGCTGTTCGTTAGTCTCGCTAAAACTAAAGAACGGCTGGACCGATTTGGCTAATTTTAGTCTTGAATTATTTGTGGAAGTCCAGAGAAGGTTTAAAAGGTAGATAAATATGAAATTGCTCGGAATTAAATATAAATAACAATTTTGTTTTTCCTTTTTTTTGATTTAAGTTTATTTTATACAAAAATTTTGGTCCTTTATTTATCGATTGAGGCACTACAAAGTTTGCCGGGACAGCTAGTGCTAAATAAAAACATAAATATATATATATATATATATAGTAATATGTTTCATATCCGCGTTCGCATGTCCGAGCGTATTAATTTTACAACACAAAAGTAGCAAATTTAAATAAAACTAGCAATTAAGGAAAACGAGTTCACGTCCCAGTTACAAGCGCTTATCGGATCCCATAAACGCCACAAAGTCAATGCCCTACATTAGGATGTAAGGTTTATATAACGTTTGAGCAGATGAGCACCTCTTCAGCCTCCTACCTGATTAGTGGTATAAACAAACAGCACGGTGCTACTGCCAAAGCGAGCTCACGATACCACCCTACCTACAAGTGACAATCACAAGTGAAATATAGATTTATTTTATAACCTAGATAATTGTCAATTTTTACCCACTCAACCAATTGCATTCGTGTTGAGGCCCGACGGCAATAACTCAGCATAAAATTCAGACCAATTCAAACCCATACTAATGTAGGAAGAAAAAAATACTGCACCAATCTTAATCTAATAGTTTTGACAGAGTAGTGTAAAAGCAGTATAGTAGAAAATATATAAATATAGAAACAATATGTACCTATATTAAAAATACATTTAAAATTAAAACTGAAATTAAAATTTACTACAACAAATTGAATATATACATAACTACATTTAAGGCACATAAGGAAAAAACTTGTGATGTTTGCGTCGAGTGGCCTAGCTTTCGTAAACAAATGTAATAATAATTACCGTGCATATATTTATTATTATTTGAGTATAATATGTATATAAGCTCCTTAGTCTGTGACTAAGGTCTTTGGTAATCACTCACAATTAACTGGTTTCTACTATACTTATTCTATTTTTGTTGCTAGGTAAAAAAATTAAGAGTTTTAAACTAATTTATTTGGCACACGAACAAAATGTTCCACCTCATTATCATAACGATACGAAAGAAGGTCACTAAATTATTGAATCTTTCGATATTTCTTATTTGGGAGTCAATTTAGAGATTTATTGACTGTGATTACGATTAATTATTTATCTTATAATGACATGATAAGCATAACTGTTAAATTAATTAAAATAATTTGCATAGAAATTGCGTGGTTATTTGTTACTAGATCCTCGGGTGAAAGACTGGCCGATGATGTCATCGCCGTGGCCAACCCTAGCCGCGTGCGTGTGCTACGCATACTGCGCGAAGGAGCTTGGCCCCAAACTTATGGCCAATCGAAAACCATTCGAACTTCGAAATATTCTCGTCGTTTACAACATGGCTCAGACTATCTTCAGCGCCTGGATATTCTACGAGGTGTGCGATCTTTCAAAATAATTGTACATAATTATTTCCGTGTACGTGCTAGTAAATAAGTTTTCGCAAGGATGATTATGATTTAGTGGTGTAAAAAAGACCACCCACCTTGACGGTGTCCGGTAAGTGCTCAAAAGGTTTAGATTAGGAGATGTTCTGACCAGAGATACTATGAAGAACATTTGTTATTGTCGTGGCCTATAGGATAAGACGTCCGGTGCATTCGTATCTATCGTGCAACGGTATTCGAATCCCGCAGGCGGGTACCATTTTTGTAATGAAATATTATACGTACGTAACAAATGTTCACGATTAACTTCCACGGTGAAGAAATAACATCGGGTAATAAAAATCAAACCTACAAAATTATAATTTGCTTAATTACTGGTGAGTTCGCACGGGTAGGTACCACCACCCTGCGTATTTCTACCGTGAAGCAGTAATGCGTGTCGGTTTGAAAGTTGGGGCAGTCGTTGTAACTATACTGAGATCTTAGAACTCATCTCAAGGTGGGGTCGCGCGGCATTTACATTATAGATGGGCTCCGATAACCACTTAACACCAGGTGGGCTGTGGGCTCGTCCATCCATCTATACAATAAAATTTAAAAAAAGTATTATACAAAGCAAATAATAATCAATCTAGTTCTGAGCCATAGCAATACATACAGCGGAATCATCAGTGATATTTTTTTGTTTTTATTGCTTAGATGGATGGACGAAACGAATAGATCCACTTAGTGTTAAATAGTTACCAAACTTCATAGGTATCAACAACCTTAATGCCGCCACTTACCCTGAGACATCAGTTCAAAGTTTCAATTCTACAGTACAAGGGCTGCCTTACCCTTCAATGAGGAACACTGCTTCGCGGCAAAAATATTCAGGGCGGTGCCACCTGCCTATCCCGACTTACAAGACTTCCTACTGTCAGTAAATAACATGCTCTATACGACCACTATAAACCAACCAGTAATAGGGAATAATTACTTAAAATGCAAAACAGTTTGACTGTCTTTTTCGTATAAAATTTCATTATTACCGAATTGTAAACGCCACATTATTATACAGGAACAAAGGTTCCTGAAGTCAAAAAAAGAATAATGTATTGACTTAGAAAATCACAAATAACTACTTATTTGCTACGTTTTACATATCGTTTTTATAATTTTCGTATTTCGTGAACAAGCAATTGGTGGTGGCGTGAATAATTATGGGTTACGTTGCGTGCGTTGCAAAGTTTTTTAGATCGATGTTTTCTTTAGGCTTCTCGAGCACCGGTCACCGTCCTCGTCGAATTCGTCGATTCCGATGAACAGTTCGACGAGCGAACTAACCCATAGACACAGCCCACTGACTTTCTCGCCGGATCTTCTTAGTGGGTCGCGATTCCGATCCGGTGGTAGATTCTGCGAAGCACTGTTTTTGCTAGGGCTCTTGTTAGCAAATTCTGTCAGGTTGAACCGGTGAGCTCACCTACACGTCAAGGAGAAGCTGAAATAGCCTCTTAGGCTACCAGCGAATACGTAAGTTTTTTTTTCATGCTACCAGGCTAAAAAAAATTCTATTTAATTTTTATACTAACATTGATTTATTTTTCGCAGTATTTGATGAGCGGATGGTGGGGCCACTATGACTTTAGGTGTCAACTGGTAGATTACTCTCGGAGTCCAATGGCCATGAGGGTATGTATTATTATCATAATTTTGTAGTTTAAATATTTTTTTTATTTAAATTTATTTTACAATTCCGATACAAGATTACATAAACAAAAAGTCTATGCAAATCGTAACCTTTTGAATTGTCAAACAACAATTGAAAAGTCAATGTAAAATACAATGTTTATTTAGTTTTCAAATAAATGGAGTCACCAAGAAAAAACAAAATTCGATAAATAAGTTACACTGAATATGAATGCAATCCAATTTAATTGTAACAATTTGAAAGTGACTTAGCATAGAGAAAAATACACTCAAAAATTTTTGCACGCAATGAACGGGTTCATCGATAGTATCAATGAGATTCTTAATTACAATTAAATGTAAATATATTAATACCAAGTCATTCTTCATATATACGTATAAATAAAATTGGAGTGTATTTTTGTAATATTGAAATAACCGCTTTTTACTACATGCATATATATACGGCACATGCACCAAAATAACATTTTTAAAAATTGTTGTCTGTCGGTCTGTCTGTCTGTTTGTTCCGGCCCATCTCTGGAACGGCTAGACCGATTTTGACGGGACTTTCACTGATAGGTAGCTGATGATTTAAGGAGTTACTTAGGCTACCTTTTTTAGACTAGCTTCGCCCCGCGGCGTCATCCGCAGTACGACAATAATCGCGGGTAACATCGCGGGACTCAGCTAGTAGAAAATATAACTGCGAATAAAGTTCTAACATAAAGTAAACGTAAAATGAAAAACACGAAAGTAGGTTAGGTACATTTCTTATTGAAAAACAAAAACTAGCCAATTTCATTGAATGACTGAGCCGATTAGAATCCGTTTCCGCGTAATTATATTTTTCTAGAACCGTGTTACATCGAAATTACAACAATAATACATTTCGGATTTTTTTAATTAATTTTCAAATGAAGGTTACATAACTATAATAAATAAACAGTTAATCATAGAATAATAAATGCTAAATTATATATCTATTTAGAATGCAAGAAAGATGACAAATATTGTATAAAAACGACACATTATTACCAAGGGTTGTTTAATTTATAGCTCCGTAAAATGTTTATAAATTCTTCGCACTAGTTTGTAAAAGCACTCAGAATTTAAAACACCGTTTTTCTTCGGTTTTTGCGAAGCGCGGACCTAATTAAAACTCCCTTTACATATTACGCGAGATGCCTTTATAATTTTAAATTTATTATAATATAATGGTTCGCAGTATGGTGGTATTATATAGTGCCTACAAATGGTTAATATATGATAAAATCAAAATGCTCGTTCAGGAAAACCAGTTAATTTAAAATGTGATGCGTGATGCCATTGAAATAAAGAAATAAAAACACCCTAACTTTAATGGAGAAGATGGCTGATGTTTATCTGGCACCGTTTATCGTGAAAATGAAAAACCAAGTCAAACAAACCATCAGAGCCTAACACACTATAAGTTCTATGAAAGAATAGTAAAAGTCAAGAAATATAGTTTATGAAAAAATAGACGGTAGTTAGCATTATATTTTAACGGTAGCGGTCTGGCTCTCCCCCTGGTCTTGCTGACGTCCATGGGCGACGGTAACCACTCACCGTCAGGTGGGCCGTGTGCACGTCTGCCTACAAGGGCAATAAAAAAAATCGTATGAGTGTCCCTCTATCCTGCCTATTTCTGCCGCGAAACAATCATACGTTCCGCTTTTAATTACTGCTTTTAAATCGATTCAATCTACAGATATAATCTTACTGGTGGTAGGACCTCTTGTGAGTCCGCGCGGGTAGGTACCACCACCCTGCCTATTTCTGCTGTGAAGCAGTAATGCGTTTCGGTTTGAAGGGTGGGGCAGCCGTTGTAACTATACTTGAGACCTTACAACCTATATCTCAGGGTGGGTAGCGCATTTACGTTGTAGATGTTTATGGGCTCCAGTAACCACTTAACACCGGGTGGGCTGTGAGCTCGTCCACTCATCTAAGCAATAAAAAAAAAAACACATTTTTTTTGTATGTAATAATTTGTACAAAAACAGATGGCGAACACGTGTTGGTGGTACTACTTCAGCAAGTTCACAGAATTTATGGACACGCTTTTCTTTGTGCTACGGAAGAAGAACGAGCACGTGTCCACGCTGCATGTGATACATCACGGGATCATGCCGATGTCTGTTTGGTTCGGACTTAAATTCGCGCCGGGTATGTACACTTTATATATATATACACTATAGTTTTTATAGGACGATACTGCCAGTGCTTACGTACTTAATAATAGAAGAAGCAGAAGGAGGTCTAAAATTATGGTTACACTATCATGTATCATTCAATTTTTACAACGTCGCTACCGGTGTGTGCGAAAAGTTCCTCAAATAGCGATTTGTTTGGGTCAGGATATAAGCACCATTAACTAAATATCTAGGTATGCATCGCGGTAAAACAAGGGGCTAATGAAATAAAAAACAATTTTAAAAAAGGGGTATTTAAATTTTTACCCAATTCAATAATATTAAAATTCATCGAAAAACCGATACAGCCGTTTCAGAGATCAGTCCGAACGAAAACAAACAAGCGTATTTTGGTTTCGATCACACCGAAATGTAACATAGTAAAAGGGTTAAATTTACATTAACAGTATTCATGCATAGAATACACGCTGAGTCTACATGTGCAACGTCAGTTAATAAGGTCAGTTAATAACGTGAATCATTTTTACTTCTTTTTTCCTACCTATGCTGATAGCCTTCAGAGGGACACTAGGAGCAGACTTAGGGACCCCGGTAACGGTATTCGTCGAACTCGACAAACAGGTCGACGTGCAACCTAACCCATACATCAGCTCGCTGAGTTTCTCGCCCGACCTTCTCAGCGGATCGCGATTCCGATCCAGTAGTAGATTCATTCGCGAAGCAGTTGCTATTGAGTTGTTAGGTCTCCATCGGAGGCGCTCGGGCAGCTGTTAGCAAATCCCACCCCTTCTGGCTGAGCCTTTGCTCGCCCACATGTCCTGGTGAAACTGGAAAGGCCTCCGGGCCACCAGTAACTTTTCAATCATAAAAAAAAACATTTTTTTTGTAGACTCAAGTGTTTTTTTTTTACCAAACTAGAAAAATATAAAACTTAATTACCAAATAATTACAGCCGACCTGTAAATATTTAGCAAGCTGGTTAGTTATGGTAAGTAGTATTAATTTGTTTTATTGGGTAGCTGCTAATGCTAGCGGTTACTAAAACCCATGAATAAATGCAATTTAAAAGAGATTTTTATTATACAACCAGCTGAACCGGCAGACTTCGTAGTGCCTCAATCGATAAATCAAAGACCTAACATTTTGTACAAAATAAACTTAAAACAAAAAAAAAGGAAAAATAAAATTGTTATTTTTATTTAATTCCGAGCAATTTCATATTTATCTACCTTTTAAAGGTAGATTTCCTTCGTCCTTCGTGGAAGCGGGCTACGTCCATATTGCCTCTGATTATTTTATATCGGTACGTGTCTGCGGACTTTGCCCACTTGCGTATTCGGTTCGCTTGATATTACACCGGGCCTCCGATTTCGACCACGACAGCTTCAATAATCTGTTCTAAATGAAAAAAAAATCTCCAAGCAATATTTCATATTTATAATTTGAATAGAAAAGCAAAGCACTAATTTTTGTTTTGTCGGTTCCTGAACTACTGTTTGTTATTCGTCTTCAAAATATTTTTTTAACTGTGTTCATAATTGGGAAATATAATTTTGTTACACCGAATTTTTAGTTATAAATAGTTCACTTCGATTTGCGGATTCCCTGGCTGAGCCTCTGCTCGCCCACCTGTCCTGGTGAAACTGGAAAGGCCTCCGGGCCACCAGTAATCCTTCAATCATAAAAAAAGCCTTGAGAGGCTATGTCAACGTAACCCTAACGTGTAGGTGACCTCTCGGAGCTTAAACCAGGAGGCGTTGCTAATACTGGCCCTAGCAAGAGCAGTGCTTCGCAGAAGCTACCACCACCGGATCGGAAACGCGACCCTCTGAGAAGATCCGGCAAGAAACTCAGTGGGCTGTGTCTATGGGTTAGTTTACTCACCGAACCCTTCGTCGCAAGCGACGGTCTCGACGAGAACGGTGACCGGTGCTTGAGGTACCTAGAAGCACCGTTAGTGGATCGGGAGGATCCGAAATGACGTTTTTATTTTTACTAGACTTTACTGTGACAGCAGTCAGCTCGACCATGCGCTGGTTCACCATATAAATATCTCAGAGCAGTACACACGGCGACCTAAATGCCACCGTTCACCTTGAAACATAGGAATGGGGCTTCAATTGTTACACCGTCATGCCGGAACGGCTGATTGCTTCGATATAGACAGGACTTGCAATAGACGGAGCAGCGACGCTTAAGATAGCAAAACTTAGGACTTCGGATTTACAAAGTCGGGTAATAGATAAGGCGAAGCCATCTTACAGCAGACATGATAGTAATAACGAAAGCCCGGCGTCATATACCTTTATCTTCTAATAACAGTCGAGCGCGTAATCATTAAAATCTCTGAAGTTTTCCCATAGAAGTTTGGTACAGACTCATAAATAACACGAAAACAAAAAGAATAATAAAAATAAATTGTATATTTTATTATATCAACGATAATATTTCTTTTTTAAATGCACATTCAATGAATAATTAGCGGACTCGACTTTGTAAACGTGTATTTTTTGTGTGTGTATTTTTTTTTTGTTTCATTTAAATATTCGTTTCCATCTGCGAATTTCAGTGATTTGATTTATACATAAACATTGAAACTGATGTTCTAACACAACTACAGTTTCAACTTTCATAATTTCAATTAAAAAAAAGTAACACGTAACTTCGGTTAAGTTTACCCCATACAAATAGTTGAACAAGTTGTTTTGGTTTGATATATTTTCCAAATATTAAAATTTCTTGTAAAGTTGCAATAATGTCGCTTAAATCAAATAGTCTGTCACCGCTCGATATGAACTAGATTTCTGGATTAATAATTATTGGTATATAGTCCGTAGTAGTATGGCACTGTGGTAGAATTCTCCCATGGTGTATCAACATCGACTATACATACTAAGTTCCGTCGCAGTCGGAAGAATGGTTCAAAAATGCACAAAGAAACAACATACATACAAACAGTGATTTTTATTTACATATATAAGCTGAAATGAACGTATCTTAATACGAAATGAAATATTAATTATTTGAAACTAGTGCTATTTTAAATATAACCTTACTCAGTCAAATCCGTCCTAATTTGATAGATAAAGGTTAAATAAATGTTAGTCAGCTTCATTACAAAGAAACGTATTTCAAAGAAAACGCATCCGCCTTATAAATGTTCCACAAGCGGTCGCTTGAAGGTTTTTAACATATGCTAATATTCTGTAACACGATGTTTACAGTAGAGGACCTTGTTGCGACCTACACTAATGTGTGGATTACCAAGTACAAGGTCATGGCTAAATTGTGGAATTCAATCAGCACAAGTGACCCTCAAAAAATCAAATCGACAATAAAAATTCGGTATTTACGCTGACCTAAAAGTCACTCCAACGCAACGTCTGTGCAAGAATATAGATCGCGAACAGTTCGCCAATCGTGAGCACTGGTGAACACACTGTATTACGTACATAGGATTAAAAAAACAATGAAATTCTGTTACTAGTAATGAAACATTACAGTATTAGTAATCGAATACCAAAAAAATAATTTCATTTCTAAAACTAACGACAGTATCGAAATTTAAATAGGTATTTTCCAAACACCACCTTTTAAATACTACACACTAAACGTTTAATGTATATTACTTAGTATCTTCGATCAAAAGCTTTTAAATTGTGTTAATTCTTAAAAACACGACTGGTTTAGTAAATGTATATGTGACCACATTGACCACACATTTCCATTATCGTTTTCCCTACAAAATATTTCAACAGAGCGTTGTTTATGCAAATAATGTTTTCAATAACAGCTCCAAATTTACGCGACCTCTAATACTTCCGAATTATTCATAATTCGAACTAGATTTTGAATAATTTGTGAATACTGTCAACGAAATCGAAAATTAATTATTTCCTTGTTCGTAAATCTCGTATTGGACCTTCAAAATTCAAAATATTTTGCATATACACAGCCGTTCCGAAAAACCCAAGCCGCCGTAGTCCTGCTCATTAGTTGCTCAATCCTATTTCGACACAAATTCTTTTACGTAATGCGTGATGCAAGCGAGAGTCCGTGGTGGAATTTCATTAGTGGCCTTTTATTCAAGGACGTTCAAAATTGTTTAACTTTCACATTATCACGTGTGTAAATATTCGAATACTTTGAATGCGTAAAACCTACCAACTTCCAAACATTTTCAACGGACGCCGCGACGACCTCATAATGAGGGTAGTATTTTTGAAGTAAGTGTGGATGTGTGTTTATGACTAGCTCTGCAGCCCTAGTTTCTGAATGGATTTAAACAACATTCGCCCAATAATCAAATTTATTGTTCACGGCTCATAACTAATGAACTAATGTTCCACCCTTTAACTTGGAATGCATGACTGCTTCTGCAAAAATAGGCAAGATGGCGGTACATAATAAGCCTTCTCCGTCACTCTAACATCGAGAGAATCACGAACTCTTTATACTACTCCATGTTTATTATTATTAAAATTACTTATTAAAAGTACAATAGACGTGTAACTGTCTTAGTGCTTTTTTCCCCCCCCCCCTAATTATGCTGATAGCCTTGAGAGGCTATTTCAGCTTCTCCTGGACTTGTAGGTGAGCTCACGGGGATCTAACGGAGAGTGTTGCTAACACTGGCCCTAGGAAGAGCAGTGCTTCACAGAACCTACCACCGGATTGGAAGCACGACCCACTGAGAAGATCCGGCGAGAAACTCAGTGGACTGTGTCTATGGGTCAATTCACTCGTCGAGCCCTTGGGTTGTATACACATTGTCAAGACTTCACTGTGACTTCATTGTCAAGACACACAGGGTACCTTTCATCGAAAAAAGTACTGTTCACGAATGATATATTTGTTTACATATTAACGAGAGTAAAACTACGGCTAAAATCTAGCAATAAACTAAGCTTAATATGTTTTGTATTTGTTCACGAAAATTCAAATAGAGTAAACAGAGAATGACATCAAATGTTCAAGCAAATACGTAAGTGTCATAACGCGTATTTGCTTTATTACACAGCTGTTTCAAATCTAAAGTGAAAAATAAATAAATTGTAAATGAATAGTAATACATTTATCGTAAGTAAATATGCACAGCTTATAAAATTTATAATTAATTGCGACTCCGATCGCAGTTTGTCTTGTAGAAAACGGCATATTTTGGACATGTAATGTCGGGAAAATAACAGAGTTAACACTAACCTTAGCCGGTCCGGTTCATTAGCATGACAACATCCGCAATGTGATCTTATATGTATGTAAATCAAACATGCAAATATTTACAAGAGGTTTGTCTTTAAGATTTGTCTTATTAATGTCTTTACATGTCGATAAAATTTATCTATTTTTAGTTAAAAGCGATAAGCGTTAATTCGAATTGCCAACAGCAGAATTTCCCATATTGCTATAGAATTTCAAACGTCCATATTAATAACAGAATAGTTTAGAACTTTGAGTTAAATTTTGATTTCAAAATCCTATTGCGTTACATTAATAGACGCTTTCCAACTATCAAAATGAAATTAGACTAATGTTTTGATCTATTCGTTTTAAGAATGGCAACTAATTTATGTGTATTATATATGAATGGCAATTTGTTTTTTTTTTTATTATTATTTTCGTTCGAATAAGAGTACATTTGGCAACATGCTAATTTTGAAATAAATAATAATGTTTATAAAAATATTTTGATTATTGTATCAAAATAAATTTAAATTAAAGCTTGACCTCGCCGTACACGTCAGGTTTCCTTATTGTTATAGTTTAGTGGTCGTTTCCTAATAAAGTTTCATAGAATATGTTACGCAAATCACACATGTTTTTTACTTCTTTTCAAAACGTAAGCTATGAATTTGGGAATTTCAGAAAGTTACCTATGTGTGTTGACGTAACATTAAAATTTTGATTCGCAAAGCGCGAAGTGATTTTTGTCTTTATGTCGTTCAGCGTCTATGTCTCTATTGGTAACGCTGCGCGGTCTTAGTGACAAAGAATATCATTGGATTAAATTATTAATTTGTTAATCCAAATTCAACGGCGCCCAGCTAAGCAACGCTCTCCTGTGTTATGGGTACAGACAGATAATAAATAAACCCAGGTCTCGAAGATGAAAGATTTTAATGAAGACGCTGACTCTTTCTGAATTTCTTCTGAATTCTGAAGTCTTCATGGCTTAAATGATAAGACATTTGATGTACTCGTATTAAAAGCTGTGACTGTGCCGGTGCTCACAAACGATGTCCACGATGAAGGAATAACATCGGATAATAAAAATTGTAACCGCTCAATTTATAAAATTGCCTAATAACTGATAATAAGACGTATTGTAAGTTTGCGCCGGTCTCCATTTATTCCCGGCTGGGTCGTTGTCTTGATCACTCGTTGTATCCAACCAGAGATCGATACCTAACTCCAAAATACAACCACACTCCAGACAAATCGATCTAAGACTTTTTCAGTTCAATGAAAGTAAAATGTATGTATTTATTTTATGACAGGTGGTCACAGCACTTTCTTCGCTCTGCTCAACACGTTCGTTCACATCGTAATGTACTTTTACTACATGGTGGCTGCCATGGGTCCTAAGTATCAGAAGTATATCTGGTGGAAGAAATACCTCACAGCCTTCCAGATGGTGAGTAAATACATTTAATTATCTAAATACTTCAGAGACATAAGACCGGATCTACTATTTGCAAAATCGCTTGATACGGATGATGTAGCCTTTTTTGTTTTCTTATTTTCTTGTTATTTTTTTATTCTCAAACCTTAATTTCAGGTCTATTATTCAATTAAATTTTAACTTGACAATAATATTTTTGTGTGAACGAAAATATTCATATCATTCATTAAACGGAAGCTATTTCTCGGTAAACCAACTACCCGTATGTACATAGCTCTTCCATTTATACTAGCATATCTTGAAAATATATTTAGCGTAATTCCGGTTTTTATACTAGATATTTATGATAAATGAGAACTAATTTGAAAAGTTCAATTCATAAATATTCGACCGTATGCCTCTATATAATAATAATTATATGTTTTCACATTATCACGTGTTCGAATACTTTGAATGTTGGATTGTTGTATTGTAGCTGGAATAGCCTCATAGGTTACCAACGAATAGGTACGGAACAAAAATAAAAAGGCAATGGACTCTAAAATGTAGGAGGCCTTTGCCTTAAAGTAGGGTCACTCCATCATAGGTGTTTTCATTGGACTTTGTTTTATAGGTTTTGGGTTTTATTTATTAATCAAATGAAACCCGGTCCTCTGTGGCCATATAAATATATGGAACTCATTTATGACTCATTTATTGAAACTGCACACGCGCCATCGTTCAGAAAATGAGGGTATTACGACAAAAACGAATGCCAACAGTTTCACCAAAACGCACAAATAACAAACATACAAATAAACATTCATTTTTATAAATTTCATCATGTATATGTAAAATTAATTATCACATATTATTGTATGGTAAACATAATGATCAACTGACTAATGCTACCACGTAAAATCTGGTCGGCCTTGTTTATCCGTTGCTGCCAAAACTAGACATGATAAGGAAGAATGTAACATGTTTGGCAACCCCAAGAGTACTATTTTACTAAAATGTTTAGAAAGGCGAACGTATGACTTTGGTAAATATTTTTTTTTTTGTACATTTTTGATAATTCGTTGTAATCTAAAGGATAAGACGTCCGGTGCAATCGTATCTACCGATGCACCGGTGTTCCAATCCAGCAGGCGGGTACCATTTTTTCTAATGAAATACGTACTTAATAAATGTTGACGATTGATTTCCACGGTGAAGGAATAACATCCTGTAATAAAAATCAAACCTGCAAAATTATAATTTGGGTCATTACTGGTGGTAGGACATCTTGTGAGTCCGCACGAGTAGGTACCACCACCCCGCCTATTTCTGCCGTGAAGCAGTAAGGCGTTTCGGTTTGAAGGGTGAGGCAGCCGTTATAACTATACTGAGACCTTAGAACTTATATCTCAAGATGGGTGGCGGAATTTGCGTTATAGATGTCTATGGGCTCCGGTAACCAGTTAACCGCATCTATGCAATAAAAATAAAACTATAAATCTATTTGCAGGTTCAGTTCGTATTGATCTTTAGTCATCAACTCCAAGTCCTCTTCAGGCCGTCGTGTCAATACCCTCGTGTCTTTGTCTACTGGATCGCGATGCACGGCTTCTTATTCTTGTTCCTCTTCAGCGATTTCTACAAAGCGAGGTACACAACCGCCGAGAGGAAATCGAAAGCTCAGAACGGACTTTGTATGGTGAGTTGAAACTTATTCTGATAACTAGCTTTTGCCCGCGACTCTGTCCGCGTGGAATTGTTACTTTGGCATAACGCTAAATTTTACCCCCCACTTCATTTACGTAGAAAGTGAAAATATGAAACATTTTTTTTGGTGCTCCACTTGTGCGTTCATACAAACAAACTCTTCAGCTTTATATATTAGTATAGATTTGAAAAAAATATTCTTTGTGTTCGCCGATCGTTCATTGGAAACAACTCATTGATATTTATTTGTAGATTTAAGACAATTTTTTTTTGGCTGGGCTGATGTATGTTCTCCTAAACCGCACGATGATGAGTGATTATTAGAGCCCATAGAATAACTACATAAACGCCAGAGCCTACGTCGAGTCATTCAGTTGAAACTTATATTGGACTGTAAACTTAAACCGTAGAACTCATATCTCAAGGTTGGTGGCGGCATTTACGATGTAGATAACTATGAGCTCCGGTGACCACTTAACGCCAGGTGGAGCGTGAACACGTCCACCCACATTAGCGTTAAAAAAATATGAAAAAAGACTATCCTACTCTTGAAAATACTGACCGAGATATAGTTAAGCATGTATGTCTGGTTCCATATTTGGAAATCAGCCAACCAACAAACAAACTTTTCCATTACCATTTAGTTTAGTATTAAAAATTAATAAGCCTTCAAATAAAGTACCAATACGTATTGGTTCTCGTTTGTAATAAGCAAAACACATTTTCAACAAATCAATAAACCTTATAGTTAAGGATTATTGACAAATCACTCAAGGCGTGCATACATCTTCATATCCTCTCGACAGCTGAGAATTGATTGCCCTCAATGTCTATGTACATTATTTTGCAACTTTAGATCCTTATGTATTCACATCCTACGATTCAATACATACAACTTCATTAACTGCAAATTAATAATAAATCTCATTAAATGCGTTATAGTCAAATGCAAAACAAAATATTTTTTGTGAGTCAGTTTGTTTTGGGTATAGAAAAAACCGGATCTCGATTACAAAGCAATTCTAAAAATGTTGGTTACTCCCAAATGTTTGCAATACGCGGGTATATTACTCCAAGAACGCAACTGCTCATTTTAGAGGAAGATGTAGAACCTAAGAAAAAATTGGATGGATTGCGTGAAAGACCATATGTGTAAGAGGGGAGTGAGCCAATGGGAGTGAGCAAAATGGTATATGAACGGGAGGAGGGCGGGAGAATGATATTGTACACAACTGCTCATTCTCCGGTGAATCCTTTAGTCCCATTTCACGGTACCCACGCGAAGAAATGATGCTAGGCAGCACCACACAGCGCTTGAATTATTCTTCACATAATGTTACATTGTAAAAAAAAACGTCTGAGCAATATTAGTCGATGTAAAATTTTCGAAGAACTACAATTTCGAGGGGGGAAAGTCAATTTGGTTTAACGCTACATCTTTTGCAACTTTATAAGAGAACCCTTTTTTAACAATTTGAATGGGGTAAACTTCATTGATGTTCAATTAAAAACATCGAACTGTTGATACTACTTGTAATCTATACATATAAATAAAACTGGAGTGTCCGTTTGTAATATTGAAATGTCCGCTTTTTACTACATGCATATGAATATATATACATACGGTTCATACACCAAAATAATATTTTTATAATTTTTGTCTGGCTGTTTGTTCTGGCTATTCTCTGGAACGGCTGGACCGATTTTGACGAGTCTTTCACTGATAGGTAGCTGATGATATAAGGAGTAACTTAGGCTACTTTTTTTAAACTAGCTTCGCCCCGCAGCGTCACCCGTGGTACGACAATAACGGCGGGCAACATCGCGGGACTCATAATAAAATTTAATGTTTCCGAAGCGAAGCGAGGGCGGGTCGCTAGTGCCACATAAAACGGACCTTTAATTAAAAACGATAAACGATCGCTTAAACCAAATAGCCATTCACCCCTCGATATGTACGTAGCCAATGTACAGATCCTTGATTGGTCAATTATACTTTCCAGGCGGTGATGGACGACAGCACGAGTTCGCTGAACGGCAGGAACGGCTACAAGCAGGAGATGGGGTCGGAGGTGCCCAGCTCGTACGCCTCGTCCGGGGCGGACGCGTTCGTGCGTCGGAGACCGCTCTCATAGTGCACGCCGCGAGTGTGCGACGCACATCCTTTCTCGACGTGAACAAACTTAAATATCTCACACAGATTATCCTTTGATGTGAACAAACCTGAACGTGACACACAGATTATATCCTTCACTGTGAACAAACCTAAACGTGTCACACAGATTATATCCTTCGATGTGAACAAACCTAAACGTGACCCACATATGAGTCGTTTATTATCAAAGGCGGCAATCTGTACATTTGGACAAAAAAAATTTATTGATATGTCAATACAGATTTATTTGAATATAATCGTCTCCTTCAAAGAATACGGTTTAAAACCTGCATTAAATAAAGGTTAATAGTTAACCTGTTATTTATCTACGATGTCGTTCCGAAGAGTTTTGTGACTGCCAATGGAATACAAAGTCAATAATTCGTTTTTCTGATTTACCAATCATTGTCCAAAAGTCAGATTGCCGCCTTTGATAATAGTCGACTCATATATCCTTCGATGTGAACGAACCTAAACGTGTCACACAGATTATATTATCCTTCGACGTAAACAAACTTTGACATGTCGCATAGATTATATCCTTCGATGTGAACAAACTCATACAGTGTCACGTCACATAGATTAATTACCCTTTGTAATGTAAAACAGCTCGCGCTCTGTTATCGTCTTAATGTTTACAATGCACAAAATGTCACGTTGTCAAGTTCGCTTCAATACTCTTCGGCCTTGTTTTCAGTTTAGTACAAAATGTTATCGATAAAGTTGTAGAAATTGTTAAAACTTACATTGTACCGTCTTGTATTTTCTTTTAAACGCGTTTATATAATGTAAAGATGGGAACTGTGAAATATAAAGAAATCACAATACGTACTGCGTTCGTGCGCCGGGTGTAAATGAAATGGCGTTTTTGTATTATGTATGTGTATATATATTTTAATCATAGAGTATAATAGTTATGGTAATTGTAACTAGGTGTACTGAAGGTAAACGGATTTTTGTAAATATAATTTTATCATGAGGTCGCCGCGTGCAGGTCTTGAATCATGTTACCATAGATAAAATATAGTTAGGTATGGTCCAGTGTCGAACTATTGCGTACCTTGCTGCTACCTGTAGGACTCAATACTGTGTATTGCCTTCTTCCAATCAACTATATAATTGTTTTTATGTTTTTTATTAAACTTATTACAGTATTCAAATAAAGAACAGAAAATCCGTGTTGTTCTACACATCAATTAATTGACTTGGGGTCTTGAAAATTTGTATTAGCTAAAATGTATTGGGGGAACCAAAGGATGCTTTGTATTAACACAATGTATCCCGCAGTCACTATTAAATATTAGATTTTGCAGTATTTTAATAAAATAATGACTTGAATAAATGTATAACATCAAACAATAGTTTATAGACATAGGAATATGTATTTCAAAACATTGAGTAAAACTGATGCTCACTTCGTCGTATGCGATGTAACGAAAATGAAAAACGTTGCCTGTAATTTACAGACAATGGTCAAGTTCAAACAATAGGCTAGTTGATTAATAACGCCTTTTATAAAAGCTTTAAGGAAATTTAATTAAAAATAAAACCAAAAATTTAATTGAATAAATTGCTGACAAATAATGGCTTTGTATGCAATGGCTGCGTAACGAATATTTGTATAATTTACATGGCCAATGTTAGCTTTGACGTCGTTACTTACTACTGCTCTCTCTGTCTTGTATGAAATTAAGTTGATATTTATTTTATTGTTGAACAGATTTTAAAATGTTTTTCATTGATCGCGTGTACAGTAGATGTGTGTATAGGGGTACTAAAAAAATAATCAACTCTCCTATTATTCCGAGTTCACCTAATAGGAGCATAGAACGAATTATAAGGTAATAAATTAAGGCCTTCGTAAAATTCCGACTAAAATCTCGTTTATGAGTACGTGTCAAAAGTATATTTACAAAGCATTTTCACGGAAATTTAGTCTTACGACAAGTGAGAATCGGTGTCTAAACATCCATTATAAAACTTGACAAATTTTCTTCAAACATTTTCTTCATTACGTCACTTGCTACGTGCTTTTTTGTATTTAAAGTGTAAAACTTTTAAACTTCTCTTATTTATCAATTAGTCTAACTGTATAATATTCACTGTCTATTTACGATAAATTATGTCGTGGACAAAATTTCATTATTTATACCAAAAACTATTATATTATTATATAGACTACATTATTGAAACATTCGCTACAATAGGGATGTTATCCTGTTTTTGTAATCAATAATGTTATGATACGAAATGTAGAAAATAATGAATCCGTTCAGGAATTACAAATTGAGAAATATCATCATCAATGAAACAGCGAGATGTTCTCACTGTGTTTCTTAAACTTTGTGGCTTGTGCTGTTGCGTATTAAATATTCTAAGTGACATCCCTATTGTTTTTGCGACTATGTAATGTATTCTTTTTTGGGAATAGTGTGCACATTATTAATGTTGTTTTGTGTTTTTTTTTTTTTATATTAAATTATCGCGCTCGATTGATTCGCTTGGATTGCGCCGCGCCAGTGCTCGGTGCGTCCGGGTGCCTCAGGTCTGCTCAAGTAAACGCTACGAGTTCACTTTATTACAGCATTAATTATTTACTTTAATAAACGATTTTTCAACTTTTGTGTTTTTTATTTCGCTTGTTGTTTGCGGATGGGACGTAAGTTTATACTTCACATTTTTACAACTTTTTTTTAATACTTATTGGCAATAAACCTACTCGAGTCGGTTATACGACGATAAAATGGTAAATGTCATTAAAAATAAATGTGCGCCTACAAAAATTATTAAGTATCTCTCTTGTTGTTTTTTTCATTGCTCTGAATTTAAATTTTATACAGTTCTTTGTTCATCGATGTGGAACGTATGCCGCGCAAAACATTTCATCTATAATATTTCAATACAAAAATTGTGCCCACTGGATTTGATCCCGATAATAATAGTCTGATACGATTACACCCGATTTAAGAGATGCAGCAAAATCAATTAAAAAATATATTTTTTAAGTGCCTTGTTTCCTAGTAAAAATACAATAAAATATCTCGTATTATGATGACAGTAATGTTGTCAATGAAATGGTAGTTTTAAACATAAATGTCGTTTGTAATGATACTAAAAAAATAAGATTTTGCTTGTACCGAGACAAAATTAAATATCGAGCCACTTGCCGTATTGTCCAGAGACCGATAAAGTAAATAAAGTGAGCACACATGATTATACTACAAAAGGAACGGCAAATTCCGACGACCACCATTATATAGCATGTATTAACTATTTGTTTAAATAAATAATAAACTTTAACTGATCTTCCTACAAGTGAGTAGGTCTGTTTACATTTATAGCTTATGAAGCGGGTTTTTTTTTGTTTTTTTTTTGTTTGGATTTTTTAGTAATACACAAAACAATCAAATCTTTTTTTTACATAAGCCGAGTATTTATACGTAGAAGAGATAGGTTCCATGACCTTGTCATTTATCGCCCAACAAAAATCTTCGGCCCCATATACGCTAGAGGACAAAGTCCAAAGGTACGTTGCGATAAATTTGCGTTCGACAACAACATTTTTCTAGTAACGAATGGCTACAGTTTAACGGTAAGCAGCATTCTTGTTGTGCCCTTGACATTGTTAATGACCATGGATGGTACTAACCATCTACCGTCAGATGCGTTTAAGCTCGCGTCTCATCAACAACTGTAAGAAAAACATTCCTGTTGTTGCCACTACTGCACTCGTGACCTAAATTTCGCCCGAACAAGTCTTCATGCGCCAAAAGACTAATAATTACACATTATTACAACAAAGCTCGCCGAGGGACACGTAGAATTGATATCGAACGATAAATTCGCGGCACAAATGTACCCTTGTGAATATTTGGCTTTATGTCCTTGTGGTCCACAAGTTGTGGATATTGGCTATAGCTCGCCAACTTGTGAACAGTTCATTTGCCCAGACTCATCAAGGCTTGTCGTCGTTCGTCTAACTGGCCGAGTGTAAATAGTCCCTAAGTACCTTTTTACTTTGGCATGCTGTGTATCACAGCATCGGTGTCATGACCGGAAACGAAATACAAATTTAAAGCGCAAGTCTGCAATCAGTAAGTAGGCGGCCTACCCGCGGTAGCTCCACAGACGCTGGTCTAGGTATTCGGTCTCGCTCGAACTTAATTAACAAGTAGACAGTAGCACTCGTTTTGAATTAATTTTTGAAATCGCAGATGCTGAGGCTTGACCAATATTCGTGGAAACTAAAGGAAGTTACAGACGACATAAAAGGCAGCACCTTTTTTTTCTACCTAAGCTGATAGCCTTGAGAGGCTAAGTCAGCGTAACCCTAACGTGTAGGTGAGCTCTCGGAGCTCAAACCAGGAGGCGTTGCTAGCACTGGCCCTACCAAGAGCAATGCTTTACAGAATCTACTACCGGATCGGAAAAGCGACTCACTGAGAAAATCCGGCTAGAAACTTAGTGGGCTGTGTCTATGGGTCAGGGCAGCGTCCGTCTGGGCTAAGCATTAGTCGACTGCCGCAGAATTGATTCTTGACAGTCTTTTTGAACTAAAAACTATTTATGTTCCGCAATATTCGACTTTACCATTTATTACTTCAAGTGACATAGCTGGATAGTAGGTACAGACAACAGGAGTGTCTTTCAGTATTTTCCCCGTATACAAAACTTCGGTGGAGCGTAAATGAGCGGTACCTACGGTGTCTTTCGATTTTTGCATAAACTTCACAATGTGAATTAATTAATTATTAATGCAATAGCTATTTAATCAGATATTATTGAATGATTCTATCATTCACATAATTTACACGCGAAACAATTAAATTTAGTTTAACTTAATCCAAAAAATTAATTTTGACATTTTTTTAATTACTTATGTATTTAGAATCACGTGTATGCTAATCAACTACTGTGAACTAATTACTATTAAATATATTCATTCAAACTCGGGGGCCCCAGTATCGTCTACTGCTGTAT